ACCATACGTGAGGAGCCTGCTTGAGCCCATATAAAGTTTGACGAAGATGACAAACCTTATCTTCCGAATGCTAATACTCGGGTAGAGGCTTCATACACACTTCTTCCCTTAGATCTCCATTTAAAAAAGCATTTTTAACATCTATTTGATGAAGGGACTAGTGCTTAACAGCAACAATGGCTATAAGACTATGAATAGAAGTTATGCATGCAACAAGTGTAAAAGTCTCCTCATAATCAACCCTAAACCCTTGGGCCACTAAGCAAGCCTTACATTGCTTTAAAGAGCCATCAGAATGAGTCTTGTTTTTGTACACCCATCGACAACCAACAAGAGTTTTACCAGAAGGAAGATCAATAAGATCTCAAGTGTGCATTTTCTCCAAAGCTTGCAATTCTTCATTTATAGCTTGCTGCTATAAGGGATCACAAGAAGCTTCCTTAAAGGTTTTGGGTTCTTGTAACGGAGAGCAGTTGAAAAATAATGGTAATCGGTAAGGTAAGAGGGCAAGTCTCTTATACGATGGGGCCGAGTATCATCGAACAATACCGGCTTAATAGATGTGGCTTGTGTGGAAACATCTTGAGGCATGACAGTAGGCATAACATTGGAGTGAGCTCTATAGGGGAATCTGCATTAAAGTCACTTGGAAAAAGATCAAGTAAAAGATCTGTGAAAATAGAAGGTGAAGGAGGAGAAATTAATTAAGGATAAAAACATCATATGTTCCCAAAAAAATAATATAATGAGAGATTTGAATGTGAAGAGATATAGGATCCCAGCAATGATAACCCTTATGCTCAGGGTCATAACTAAGAAAACAACAAACCCGAGCACGGGCTTGCAATTTGGTAGTTTCATATAGAGGGAGAAGAATAAAATAGACACAGGCAAATACTTTCAAAAGACTATAATCAAGAAGAATACCATGAAGGTGCTTGAAATGAGAAATATTACCAAGAACTAGGGTAGGAACTTTATTTATACAATAGACAATGATTAAAGTAGCTTTTCCCCAGTAGCATTTAGGACAGGAAGAAGAAATGAGGAGGGCTCTAACTGAGTCAAGAATTTGATGTATTTTCGTTCAGCTCGGCCATTTTGCTGAGAGGTGTAAGGACATGAGTATTAGGAGATTGTATCCTGAGCATCAAGAAATTTAAGCAATTTAGAATCACGGTATTCCAAGGTATTATCACGGCAAAGAGTTTGCACATAGCGGTAGATTGTGGCTTGCTTGAGGAGTTGGTCTGCTAAAATTCTGCCTTACGACCTTCTGGATAACTCCTAGAGGATGAAGGCTGGAAAGTGAATCTCTTGGGCGTCTACTTCTCAACATGTATGGCTAGACGGATGACATCATCCAAGGTCTAATATTGCTGAAGCTGGACTGAATGACTGATATATTTGTTTAAGCCTGTAAGGTACCGGGCTTTTGTTTGCTCCTCCTTCTCTTGAATGTCACACTTTATCATGAGTTGCTCAAATTCTCTAGTATATTCTTTTACAGATAAAGATCTCTATTAAAGATTTTATAATTGGATAAAATTATCCTGGTGGTAATGATCTGGCAGAAATTTCCTAGTGAGCTGGCATTTTATTTTCTCCTATATTTCAATCTTGCGCTTTCCCTCACATTCTCTCTTCCATCTGAGGTTTTCCTACCAAATAAAAGCATGTTTCTTGAGCTTGAGGGCGACAATTTTGACTTTCTGTGCATTTGAAATCTCCTTGTATTTAAATACTTATTCAACAATTTGCAGCCAATCTACAAACTCGTCTAGCTGGAGTCTTTCCCTGAATTTAAGAATGTCTACCTTGGTGTCATTAGGGCAGAATTGTTGTTGTCGTGGACGGCGATGATTGTCAGTGGATGACAAACTGCTGCTTCCCGAATCTCCCTCTAAGTTTTCTCTGTTATTGTTTAATAGATTTTGCTGTAATTTCACAGTAGCTTCTAACTCTCATATTCTACGTCTCATCTCTTCCACCTCAACCTCGTGCATATGCCTGCGTCTTAGAGGCATTTTGGATAGGTGTCAAGACTAGGGATATTGAAAAGATTGGGTGCAGATGGAAATGTTGAAAGCATATAGGATGGGATTTTAGAAAGGATAAGGGCAAAATGGAAATTTTTGGACAATATAGGGGTAAAATGGAGATTCTAGAAGAATGGGGTCAAACTATAATTTATGAAAAGTATAGAGGTAAAAATGGAATTTAGGTAAAATAAAGGACAAAACTGTAATTTTAGGAAAGGTTAGGAGTTAAAATGGAATTTTAAAAAATTTTGGGGTCAATATGAAATTTCATAAACTTAAGGGATCACTATGAAATTATGGAAATATTTAGGGCAAAAATGTAAAGTTTGAAAATATGGCTGACTGGGTATAGTGACGCAGTGACAGTGACACGTGGTAGCGAATGATTAGTTGACCTATTGTTTGGCCTGTTAGATAGATGACGTGGCAGATGACGTCATCGTTGTCTACCTTGGATTAGCATGTGCGGTGTATAGGCTTCAGGCGACAGCGCGTGCAGACCTTTTCATCGATGGGAAACCTCTTGTTCCACATTTTCAGACCTTCTGAGCACAATGGTGACATTAGTTTCCTAAGAAAACGTCTGGAATGTGGGATTGGAATAGGTCAAGGACTCTTCCTCTAAGCTACTCTCCTGTCTGACGTAGTTTCTTAACTCTGCCTCGCTCTTTCGCTCGCTGAACCTGCTCTGATACCAAAATGGCATAGAGACAAAATGAAAAAAAATGCACTCTTGTTTATTTTCAAACTTCACTGCTTGTTACATTGGGTCCGTGGCCTATTTATACTAGAGTTATGGCCAAACGAAACAGAAGAATTAAAACGGGGGTTTCACAAGTTACAAATAGGTTTTGAATACTTTTAAATGGGGAACGTTTCTAAGGCATGAATGGATGTTTCTAAGGCTTCAATGCAGCAACTTCATTAGCTTTCATTTCTGCCATTTTCTATTTTAGGATCTAACAGGAAATGAGACAACTCCAGTAATATATCGCCAAAGTTTCCTGCCTTTCAAAAAACCACCCATACTTTTCATCCATAAGTGATAGTTAGAACCAGTTTAACAAAACAGAAATAGGTTGAGCAACCTCAAATTTTTTCATTAAAGAATAAGGGGTAAAAAAATAAATAAATCAAAAAGACCAAGAGGAGACAGTGATTAAACAAAAATTTCACAGTGAAATAAAAATCTCAAAATAAAAGAGTCCACACGAATTGGCTTAATCAGAGAGAGAAGTTCCAAAAATTCAATGAGGAAGAAGACAAAATAGATAAAATGAGCAGATAAAAAAAAGAACAACTAAGGACAGTGTCAAGGATGAAACAAGCAGATGATGGAGATGCAATATTGGAAGAAGGAGCGAAAAAAAAATCCGACTTTGGTACCATGAAAGAAGCAAGAGAAATATGAAAAAATATTTTGTCTATTATTAAGCTGAAGGGTACAATATATACATAAAGAAAAAGACAACCTAATAATGATTAATAATTACATAATAATATCAAATTATATCTTCTAATAATGACTGAGATATATATACAATAATGATAAAATATTTGACGAATATTCTAGATAACAATTATCATAATCCAGGAACATGTGTTATCATAAAATGTTGCTATGAATTTTCTGAAATGGTATAAAATGGTTAAAAAAAAAACTATCTTATGTACTAACATGAAAAATTGGAAATCCATGCATGCCAACCCTCTTTCAAATTATCTAATATAAAATTTTTTCTATTGGAATATTCAAAATTTTGTTCTTTTATAAAAAGTCCAAAAAAAGTTTTCTCTATTATTTTTCCATTTATTATAAGTATACATTTCGAAAGGAGAGAAAGTTCAGTCATCTTTTGTCCTTCCTTGTAAAAGAGAGCAAAGTGAAGGGTTATTAACCGTTGAAAGTCCAAATTTAAACCATGGTTTTCAAAGACGGGAGAAAAGAAAAAAGGAAAACGAAAACAACACATGGTTTTGTTTCCTCGTGACAACGTTTCATTGCAGGTCTCCAATTCAATACTCTTTTCTTATGGACATTAATTCAAAGCAAAATTTCCCGCCCCTTTTCATCTTTGAGCTATGTAAGATTATCTCATGTAATATTTAGAAAGTATTAAGTTTAAAATTTTTGAAGTGGATAACATATGTGAAGAGTCTCTTTATTATATGGATTGTTTTGAATTTTCAGAGAAAAATATATTTTAATAATTTTCAAGCTAATATTGATAAAATCTAACGGCTATAATTGAAATATTCATTAAGTAAGTGGATTTAAGTCGATTATTGAATTCAAATATGAAAATTGTTTTGAATTTTTAGAAGATAATATATTTTAATAATTTTTACATATTAATAAAATTCAATAGTTATAATTGAGATATTTATTGAGTGAGTGAACTTAAATCACTAGTCGAATTCAAATTCTCTAGCTCACATGCATGATTCAACTTGATGAACATCTAAGCCAGCATTGAATCCCAAACCAAGCATAATGCAGGGGTTTGCCGATTTTGCTTCTATGTATCAAAACTTATCCTACATGGTTTTGCTTCTTTTTCGGTCTTTTCATTTCCTTATAATATTAAAGCAAAAACTTATTTTCATATCTCAAGAGGATATCTAGTAAAAACAAACCTCATATTTCGTATATAATTGTGCGTAAACTCGACCAACTCCTCAAAATATAAAAGGTTTACCAAACGACATCAAAAATTCCATATCTGATGGTTAGAAAAATCGAGAATATACAAGTTTAAAGTGTATTTTATATCAAATAAGAGTTTCAATATGCTTGCTTTATTGTTTTTTTCCACTTTTAGTGTTATTCAACTACGTGCAACTACATTGCAATCTCTCTCTACACTACATTTTTAAATCAGATCGTATATTAGTCTATTAGTAAATAGCCCATGTGAAAAACCTTAAACTACACAAGAATTGAAGTGGAGGAAGTAATTAACATAAACTGGCAGCTTTATTAATGATGCCAAACAGAAACATAAAAAACATAGCCGTTGATTCTTCGTGGCAACTTCAACGAAATCAAAGTACAAATAGATCATAAGCTATATATGATTCTTAGTTATGACGGACAGACTTATGCCACATGACACCGTGTGCTATTATATGCCAGCTTGGAGACGATGAACATCTTTTTTGTCACTGACGTTTCACTGGAGCTGCAGGTTTTTCAGCCTGCAAATAAAAGGGTCAAATGCACAGTTAGACACACACACACACACACACACACACACACACGGGGCAATGCAAGAATTACAAATATAGATTCAGAGCAAGTGAGCAGTCAGGGAGTCTTATTTGGGATGGAGACTGTCAGAATATTAGAAAGAGTACCTTTTTTGGTCATCAAAGCTTCCAATTTTCTTGTAGTTGGGGAAGGGCACTCTCCCAGATTCTATATGCTGAATGTCCCTCACAAGCATTTCATAGTGCCTCTTCACCTCCTCCGGTGTCTTCCCACCAACAGCCCTGGCAACATTGTACCAACGATCAGGAGTGTCCTTGTCATAAACTGCAAGAGCCCTCTCAAAGGCTTTGTTCTCCTTGGCACTCCATGACCCGGAGGACGACATCGAGCTCGATGCCATTTCTCTAGAGGGTAAGTCCTGGCAATAGATAACAGGGGCTAGGATGAGAACAGTCTATAGCGTAAGGCTTGAGAAAGATCAGAGCTGGTATGTGCAGAGAGACGTGGCAATGGCTTCTCCTTTTATAAGCAGAAGTGGGAGGGTGTAAAGGTGGGGTAGTGACAGTTGGCAATTGGCATTGATATCTCTGCTTAAATATGGAGTAGAATTTAGTGATATGTATCCTTAGGAGCCACAGAATAGAGCAGGACCAAGAAGATGAGCAGCAACATGGGAGAATCAGTATCTTGAAACTGTAAAACAAGTGACTCACGACTACAACGATAGGAGTTATCATTTTCCTTAAAAGCACTTGCTGTTTCGTCATAACTACTCCTCTTCCCTTATTCTTGATTCACTAAATCATATCAAAGTCAAATTTCTCCGTGGAAATTTCAAGTTCGTGGATTAAGCCTGTAGGCTGTAGCTAATTCTTTACGTGTTGTTGAGCTTCTAGCTTGTGGATTTAAGCCTGCCATTCACTATATTAGGCTATTAGCTAATAAGCCTCTGTATTTTTCCTCTTGCACGAGTTTTTCAGTGGGAACAAGCTCAAACCAGGTGTGTATCAAACATCTGTGTACTCTTGTTCCAAGAGTTTGATAACAAACAAATCTCATTTGTGATAATCATCATGACAGGTGATCTTTGAAGGGTGCTAGTCTTGAACGACCGTCCAACACTCTGGCTGGCCTGTTGTGTCCGTACAATGATGATAATTTGTTCTTAACCCCAATGAAAGGTCAACATAGTCACCTGCTACTCTTGTAGCTTCTGAGACCCCTTAGGTTCCAGATATCGTTCGTGTTTTCTGTTGAATGCTTAGGCTGAACGTCAAAGGTTCAAAGAAAGTCCAAACCTGGCAGCATTGACATCTTAATGGGGTAACTAATAGGAACACCTTGTATGGTGGGCAAAAGAACACTTGCTTAAAGCGACCAGAATATTTATGGGAGGCTGCATTAATTAGTTGGTAAATAAGCACTTTGATAAGGATAGAAAGAATAATAACGCTTATTGTTGTTCTGATGTTACGAACACTATTTGGAGAATGCACCAGCTACCAACAAATACAGTACCGCTATATATGCACGAGGAACATCATCATCAATGATCCTTTTCTTTTGGTCATTAATTGTTGTCTTTTGCTATTGACTTGGCCAGTGGCCTGACCTGGAGCAGAAAATATAGACTTTAGGTTTCCCCACAATAGTCTGGATAAAAATATCTTCCGCTGCTCAGTTTAGCCACTCATGGTTGGGGTCTTGCTGGTTCATTCAATTATCTGGATTTTGTACCTGTGAATACGGAGCTTCCACGATGATATTATAACTGGTACCCCATTCATCATGGAGAATGAAAATAGAAAAGGCTAAAATTTTGTTGGCCCTCTTACCAAAAGCAGCCAAAAGTATGCATTTTACGGATGATGACCATAGTTTTGTCCTCTGAAGGGCTTCAGAGTAGCACTTGATTACTACTGACCTTTTTTCTGTTTAATGAATCAATGATCACTTGAAAGCTTTGTAACATTAGAGATTACAGGAATAATAGGATGATGGATCACCGGAAACTAGAGTATTTCATATGATCTTGGAACATCCTTGACACTCAATTCAGCTGCTTAAGTCACTGTATAGTGTATAATGGGCAATAATTCAGGATACTTTTTCTTCTTTAGACCAGCCATGAAAACATATATTTACTTACCCTTTTTTGCTGCAAATTCTTACTGTTGATCTGGAGAATTAGTGCTCTTTTTTTTTTTTTTCCTTTTGAAAAATTCAGAGCTTCAAAAGTATATGCTTCATCCGATTCTTGGGTTACCTAAACCATAAATAAACTATGGTGACTATAAATGAAGAAAATGACGGAATACCAGGGAGAGTGTAGCTGAGTTTCTATGTGGAACATGGGATAAGGCTGCATTCCATCAAAGCATCAGAATTCAGAATAGTCTAATTTAGAGGCCGGTGTAGTGAGATACCACAATGTGGCTTTAGCTGGCAAGTTGATATAGATTGACCCTACTCTATATATACCTATATATGCTGCTAATATCTAGCAAGTAGGCTTTAGACTAGTGTTTTCAGAATTTCCCAAAAACTAATGCACAGTATTGGGAGGTGCCAGGGAGTAGAACGACTTCTATTTTGGTTTAGTTAGAGGTTAATTACGGGAATTCTTAATTTACCATTGAAAGCGAGTTGTTCAAGGAATCTACATCCTGATTTTTATCTTCCTGGTAAATAACTGAATATTTTAATCAGAATATCTTGTGTGACATTTGAGAATAAACACAACAGTTTTGATAGCCACACCAAATTACAGGTTCGTTGTGGGAGGGTGAATCAAGACTTGAGGGTTGAATTGTAAATCGGGATTTCTAGAAGAGAACCAGGATGTAGGCGGTGATGATTGGCTGAAAATTACCGGGATGACTTCTGCAGAATCTTCCATGAAAAAGTGTGATTGAAGATTTATTCTCCCACCGATTTATGGAATCCTTATCAGTTATCACCCAATTTTTCCTCGATTTCGCAAAGCAATATATGGAATATGGACTCTTCCACTGGGGTTGGAGGATTTTTTTTCGCTTTCAGTGGTCCTTCATTACCAACGGAGAAGTTGAAATCCATACTCATTCTCTCCATAATTGGATGGTTTCGCAGATAACTTTGTTGACACGGGTATTTTATCATGATCAAGCCGTCTGATATTTATTGCAAAGTAAGGAAGGTATAACTCTATAGAAGGAATGGAAAGAAAGAATCAAGCATCTGGTCACCGAGGCATAAGAGAGAAAGGTGCAGCTTGATGCAACATTTGGTCAACGGTGGATGACTGGACCCAGTCATCATGAAGACACAGAAAAACAATCTTAAAGTTCTTCTTTGTTCCGCTGTTGTTGTTATTATTTTCCAATGAACTCGAAGATGGAGATGTTGAACTGGGCAGCCCGGCAGGCAGGAAACTAAGTAAGAGCCAATTTGACTGGGCTGGCTTTCAGCATATATGGGCATGGCCCATTTGAAACAACAGCCTAATAATGTTTGTGGTTTGCAAATACGGAGAGTGATGGGTATTGGGCCTCATCAAGATAGGTGGGCTAAAATCGCAGGGCACACTCCCATATTATTTAATCGGGTGAGCCCTATCACGTATGAATTATAAATCAGTCAAGTGCCATAACAACTGTAACTGATTTGTGATGACGTCTAGCTGGTTGTCACATTTAAAATTCGGCCCCTGGTGAATTTTGTTTGTATTCAACATTTGCCCCCTGAATCCACGTCCGGACCCGTGAATGTTGTTTCGAATTTAATGTCGGGACAAAAATGGGAGTGTCAATCAGCATCGCCATGAAATTATTATGTCTCCATTTGTAATATTACAGGGTCGTGCTTCAAACTTGGCCCCAGACCATCCTTTGTCACCTTTCTAGTTTGTGCTTTGGTCCCAAATACTCATTTTCTGTATTGAATTCTTTTTATGCAAAAGAGGCCGATTATATTCACGTGTGGGGTGGTCATGCTTGTGTTCTCGAGTTTTGCCCATTCATGCATTATTGATCAAGTCCCCAAAATAACAGTGGCCCCGACGATATCGGTAAGCATTCAGGCATTGCAGTGAAGTTGAAATTCTTTTCTTTTTTGGTGCAAATGAAGTTCAATTTCTTTAACGGCTGAAGTTTATGAGTTCTTTAATATACAAATATAAAAAAATAAGTACAACTTTTATTTATCATACTTATCATTTAAACAACTTCTTTTAAAATATAATTTCTTTAACTTTATGCTCCTACAGTCAAAACTATAAGGTGCTCATGAATGCTTTACTATTTAAAAAAAAATTAGTTGAAACTTTAATTTTTTAAAAATTATCCTTTATCTTTTTAATTATATTCTTATCAAATATTTTATATAAATATCTTAACAATGATAATTAAAATTTTAATATACTGCTTTTAAAAGAGTAATAAATGATTTGATAATATAGTTAAAAAAATTATAAAAACTACTTGATGTTCTATATTTTGGATCCAATAAGGTTTCAAAAAAATTTTCTTCTATTATGCTAAGGAGTAATTCAGAAAATTTGCATTTAAATTAAAAAATTTACATTGGTTTAAATTATCTCTCTTTGAGGCAATTTGAAGTGTCTGGGATTCATGGAGAAATATTTTTTTTGCTACACATGACCTGTTTATAAAATTTCTTGCAGACGGCCCTCCTCTAAGTCATTAAACGCAAAGAATGGTATTCAAATATAATGGCTCTATGAAGTATAGTGTCACAAATAGCTGTTTTAAAGTTTTAGTAAAATGATGAAAATCGGATTGCTCATTGACGCATTCAAATAATTGGTGCAAGTGTTTTTTTGAATCAAGGGAGGATGTCAATCAAAAACACAGCAAATTACAACCAAGCTACAAAGCAAAGGAAACATGAAGGCCAAAAAGAAAAACCACCACAACCTAAGTAAAGGATGGTAAAACAAAGAAATTGAAATCAGAGTTCAGAGTATGACCCAGTTTGGCAAGTTGATATGCTATTCTATTATCTTCCCTATACACAAAATTGAAGTTAACAACTTAATTCCTATGTAAAAAAAATTTATTAGATCAATAATTCTTTGAAAAAGATGATAATCGTGGTTGTCTCTTATGATAATTAAAATTACATACACACTATTTTAAAAAACCTTCACAATCCGGTAACTTTTTTGCCAGCACAATTTGAGTTCTCTCATGATGTCATGAATTTTTACAATCGTAGAAGGGATTTGCCCCAATTTGTGGCTGAAACCTTGAATCCAATTTCCATGAGCATCTCTTATCATTTCCCCACAAGCACTTTGTCTGTTAGCTAAAGTGACCCATCTGTCTCTAGTTTGATGAAGTCATCATATCTCCTAGGATGATCACTTTGGAAACCTCGTAGTATTGTATTATCCAATTGTTTTGAAGTTTCAAATTTGCGGTAATTTTAAGATGAATCAGTTTGGATCATCAACTTCCCAAATATGACATTCTTGAAACAAACAGTTACATCTATTTCTCTAAATATTCTAATAGACATAAGCAAAAATAGCACTCTAAGAAACATTTCTAGTTAAGTTATTTCCTAGAGAAGCATTTATATTCCAATCCAACCAATCCCACCTATTTAAACTAAAGAATTTTTGCAAATGATTAGTCCTTGCAAAACCCTCCCACCAACTCTTGGCATGAACACAATCTCTAAATAAAAGAAGGGTATCCTCTATTTTAGGACAACCGAAGGGACAGGGGTTAGAGATGTGTAAACCTCTTTTGGCACGGAGAGCCATTGTGTGCACCCGGTCATGTGTCATCAGCAAGATAAGAGTTCTCATCTTCTCAGGAATCTACCAACACCAAATTTTTAGCCATAACAGTACACTCTCCTCTTCCATAGCTGCACAAAGAAACAAATAACCAGATTTTACAGAATAAATGCCGTCAGTAGAAAAGAACCAAATGTGTTTATTTATCAAAACTATAGTTGAACTATGATGAGACTGATAAAATCAAAGCATTTTATTAGATTGATCATTACCGGTTTAACTAAGTGAGTTAATGCGGATTTTTATAGTATGGTTTTATTGCTTTGGCTAAAAAAGATGAAGCAATTAATACATTAAAACGTTAGCTACGTTACCAAATTCGTCCTTGCTTTGATACATTAAAACATTTTCACATTATTCATAAATAAGGATGTAAAAATTGAAAAAAAAAAAAAAAACTAATATCACGGAACCGGGGAGCAGGATCCTGCAGTTTCCTCTCCTCCAAAGAAAGGTTGGGGGGGGGGGGATCCTGCAATTTTGATTGGCATGGAATTGCAGACTAGCAGTTGAAAATATGAAACAACATGATGCTTCGATATACTTGCAATCATGCATTACAGAAGTGACAAGTGAATTACTGAAGTTAATAGGCTGGGTTGTAACTGGGGCGATCACCGTGGAAAGTGGAGACAATCATGAAGATCATGTTTGCTGATCCAAAAACAGATATGTCCCTCGAGCTGTCATTGATTGTCTTACGAGCAGCGCCCACCATTTTCTTCAAGTAATCTCACCTCATATAATTCTATCTTCCCATCAATTATTCTCGCGCCGGAGCTCTCTCTTTCTCCGTCAACCATGTTTCCTCCGCCATGGAACTGGATGGTCGCAATGTGTGCCATTTTTGTGCTCGCATGCTCCACGGTGGAATGTTATCCATTAGAGGACAAGATTCAAAGGTTGCCTGGCCAGCCCCCAGTTAGCTTTCACCAATATGCTGGCTACTTAACCATCGATGACAAGAACCAGAGATCCATGTTCTACTACTTTGTTGAAGCAGAAACAAACCCTGCTTCCAAGCCTCTTGTTCTCTGGCTCAACGGAGGTTCCTTTCCCTTTCCGCTTCACGGTTCCTGTTTTTAAATTTTTTGGGCAAACTAGTATAATTTGTTCCATTTCATTTTCAGGTCCGGGCTGCTCTTCTCTCATTGGATCCTTCTTCGAACACGGACCATTTATAGCTGGCGCTAAGGGTATTGTGAAAAATATAGTTGGAACACAGGTATATCTTTCTAGAGCTAAACTAATCTCATCTGGAAAAATGTCCAAACTGAGAAGCACTATTTCCTAATTTAGCACTTCAGTGCCAAATGAGCTCTATCTTTAAAGAAGAATAACTTGTTTATTGCGCCGGCTTTGTGTTTTAAATTCGCAACTGTATGTGAAGTGCATCAAGCACGTGTTTCATTCTTCATCATAAACACCCTATAGCTCACATTGTGTAGTGAGTTTACTGCAGCGGCGAACATGTTATACTTGGAATCACCAGCAGGTGTTGGATTCTCTTATTCAGTAAACAAGTCCATCTATGCTTCTTACAACGACGATATCACAGGTTCCTTTCTCGCCATATTAAGTTTTAAAGCATCGCTCACAGATTCTTTATTTGAATCCTTCTGATTAATCATTTGTTTGAAACAGTAACTGACTTTTATCCCTTTTTCCTTAGCACGAGACAATTTGGCAATCCTGCAGCGTTGGTTTGTCAAGTTTCCAGAATACAAAAACAGAGACTTGTTCATAACAGGCGAGAGTTACGGAGGTATCCACGAAATACGTGCAATCATTCAGCACGTATAGCCTACTATATATCAATTACTTGGCTCTAAACACTAAATTTTTCATTGGACCTCAATCTGTTAGTCTGCGGTTTTTTTGTCACGGTCAGGACACTACGTGCCGCAGCTTGCACAGCTTATTATTCAGACCAAGGCCATCCCCAACCTGAAGGGCATAGCGGTAAGAAGGATTACAAATTGACAATGGCCTTGTCCTTGATTTCCATATATGAAAAAACGTCGATCGTTACACATGTTAACTTGTTTAATTGTTTGTTGGGTTGCAGATAGGAAATCCTTTGCTGGAGTTTGGGAATGACTTTGATTCGAGGGTTGATTATTATTGGTCGCACGGGTTAATCTCGGATTCCACTTACAAGACTATGAATAGGCTGTGTAACGGTTCCGAGTTTGGGAGACAGTTGATTAGGGGTGAGGTGTCAGAGACTTGCAGGAAACTCCATGGCACTGTACAAGCTCAGTTCGTGCTGTCAATAAACCAAGATAACATTCTGGGCCAAACCTGCGAATCATTAAATTTATCCACGGCAGCCACTCTCTCTCACCCACCAACCTTAACAATGTCTCAGCTTTTGCTGCCGTACACAAGCAGTCGCCAGGTGAAGTCATTAGTCAACATCCGAACAATATGCATTGAAAAGCAATCAATTTGATGTCTTTTTGTAGGGAGATGATGGTGCTTGCGGACTGACGCTATCATCCAAGTATTTAAATAGGAATGATGTGCAGACAGCTTTGCATGCGCGGCTTGTTGGAGTAAGCACATGGGATTATTGCAACGTGTAAGATACACATACTAATTCCCGATCCCTACTTGGCAATAAAAAGTGATATGGTTATATAGGATTTGTTAATAGCGTAGACGCCATTATGCTATGCAGATTCATGAATACAAAATATTCAGTCGCAAGCAGGGAAATTCCAACGATTAAGGTAGTAGGCTGGCTGGTGAAGTCGGGCATACGGGTGGTGGTTTACAGGTATTAATTGGATGTCTTAGGTTGGATATATATAAATAGGAACATGATTAACAAGAAGAGCATGGTGGTCTGACAGTGGAGACCAAGACGCCAACGTTCCATTCATTGGAACTCGACGTTTGGTGAGGGAACTGGCTGAGGAATTGAAACTGAAAGTGACTGTGGAGTACACACCCTGGTTTGTGGATGAAAAGCTGCAGGTGAGCTAACTTTTTTCTGTTCAAAAGCAATCGACGAAGTTGAACCGTGAATGATTAAGTTTGAAACGAACTGCAGATTGGAGGATGGACAGAAGTTTACGGCAAAGGGTTATCTTATGCAGTGATAAGGGGGGCTTCCCATGAAGCCCCGGCTACTCAACCGAAGAGGGCATTTATGTTGTTCGATGCTTTCCTTCGAGGAGAAGTACTTCCCATTCCCCACGATTGATGTGCTCTGCTGATGAAACCCAAAAATAAAATAAGAGAGCACAGTGTATTACATTGTATTTCACCGCTGGAATAAAAATATTACTTCCTATCCAGCAATTTCCTTGTAATCGCAACTGCCCTTTTTTGTTTTGGCGAACATTACCCAAGATTACATGATAGTACAAATTTTCAGGTGATGTTGATGTTACAAAAAGTTGGCTGGTTTTTGTACATTCAAACGACAAACTAATAATCAAGTTCACACATGGATCCTGGAGCACACGAATTCGAATATGCATAGGCAAAATGAGAAAGCGAATACTAAACCCCATTCAGGACAGAGATGATGGTTGTGAAGGAAAGGAGGATGATGGTTGAGAAACCTTCTCTCTTCTCAGTTCCTTGACAACAGCAGCAAGTGCCTCAGGATTGACACCAAGGTCACACAGAGCAATCAAAACAGAGAGTGTGTGACGGTCCAGACCTGTGTCAAGTATGTTTGACATATGGAATGCCAGGTCTAGGGATTCTCGTGCAGTTCGCGCTTCTTCTGGATCCATACTTCAAACCTGACATTTTTCATTTGAGAACAGTGACATTGATAAATTGTAAATAGAAGTACTGAACAAAGAAATTCGAATTTGAGTAGTTTGTCTGTTTTTCTCATGAGCATGGCATATGTTCATGCTTCACAAGCTAATTTTGATAACAGCTCCTGGTGCTTGACAAACGAACCCGGGAAGAAAGATTGAGAAAAAAGAAACGGAAAAAGACAAAATTTCAGATCCAGCGGTTCAGATGAAAGGCGAATAAAGATAAGCCAAGACCTAGATCATCTCTAAAACGGCCGTACCAAATGCCAATAGGAAGGCTGGTGAGGAGTGAATATAGAAAAAGCAAGAAAAGGAAAAGGAAAATGTGGGAATAACATACCTGTAATGTGTGGATCTGGCAAAGCTACTACCGAGAGCACCCAGCCCAACACCGGCTAGAGAGGGAGAACAGCCGAGGAAGATGAAATTACTGAGCGGAATATTCAGAGACTTGGTTGGAGGAGAAGGGTTAAAGGGCTGGAAGCCTATGACAGATCGCAGCAGGCCCCGCCGTTCCGGCTGGCATGAGAAAGGTCATACGGAGCGTTTTGTGTTTCACGTTTTTATTTTGTTATTTTTGTTATTTTGCATTTCTGTTTCTGCCATTATGGCACGTGAGTTCGAAGGCGAGAACGTACCTGAATTCGGTTATCCAGAAAGTGAACGAATATTCTGTGTCTTTGCCCTCTGATTTTCTCTCTCAGATTCTCTTCTCTATTCTCTCTTTCTGTTCGTCCCTTCTCTTTATAATCTGTTTCATCTGTATGGCGCATCAAAAGGAATCTTGGCGAGGGTTGAAGATGAACTCTGGGAAGAAGGAATGGACGAAGGTAAAGCACTTTGAATCGGAGAAGTTGATCCGGCCAACCTGGCAGCAGGAAATTGAGGATCAGAGCGGGGATGGGCTAGCCAAATTTCATTTTGCTTGTATTGCTTGGGCCTTAATTTACTGGCAGCCCACCGAACTTGTTATCCCAGTTCCATTCATTGGAACTCGACGTTTATACTAGAACGTTCCAAGTTTAAAATTATTTTAATAGATTTGTAAAATTAAAAAATCCGGAATAAATAAATATCTTCTCATTTTATTAGAATATCAAGTAAAAAAATATTTGATTTGATGATGGAAGTTTTATATCAGATATAAACAAAAGGATCCATATGCTTATCATTTTAAGAATTTAGGTTGAAGCTGAATCCACTTGCTACACACACACACACCATCACGTAAATCATTAAATGAGATAATTAACCGTGGCATAGTTAATATAGATGAGCTATATCGATTGTCCCATTTAATAAGGTCCCATAGGCCATGGCAATATAGTGGTATTGATTTATAATAATATTATGCTTATGCGCTTGTTGCATATGATATTTATAAAGCTTGGACCCCAGTGGTTGTCTCTCTCTTTCTCAAATCACAGCCATCATAAATGGTTTCAAACTTAATTTCCCAAAAGTTCATTTTAATAAAAGTTAATTTAGTAAAAGTTATTTGTTATAATGAAATTTGTATTTGGATATATTTTTTTAAAAGTCAATTTAGTACATTAAAAGTTGTTTGGTTTATGATTGTAAAATGTATTTTTAAATATAAAAGTATCAAAAAAGATATTGATTTATGATGATTTACAATTTTTATTATACAAATATAATATATTTAAAATATTTAAAAAATATGATATAGATTTTAAATAACATAAATTTTGATCTATAATGCTAAAAATTTGATCTCTAGTTATTTGTATTTTTTTAATTTATAATTTTATAAAATGTGATAAAGATTTGTAATTTTTATTATACATTGATACTAAAAATTAACATGATTAATTATTCAATTTATAATGCTAAAAAATTAATACCTAATTATTATTATTGAAATAATAATTTTATTTTTAATAAATTAACTATTTTTAAAATAAAAGAATAAGAGATTAAACTTAGAGTAATATAATCAAATAACATCATACTTTTCAAAAGTTTTAAATTAAATAGTTACATTTTAAAAATTCACTTTCAGCTATTGTTTAAATATACTTTCAGAATATATTTTTTATAAAATATTTTATTCAAATAACTTCAAACTTTTAAGAATAAAATTTTACTTTTTAAATGTAAAAAATAAAAAAATCAAATGGGCCCTCAAGTGGGGTGTTGTTTCTGATGCGTTCGCTAAGCTATTTGTCTCTCCCTTGTAGCTATGCCCATGAAATTATTTCTGAAAAAAATTATATATAGATTATGTGAATTTATTTATAAATAAATCTCATAAAATTTAAAAATTACAATCAAATTATTCAGGATCTGAATATAATTTAACATTAAATTGTAGAGATAATAATATCTCTTTTAAAAATATATTACATAAATTAAATAATTTTCAATCAGTTTATCAATAATTTATAACTATTATTTTAACTTTTTATATCAAATATTTAAACTTTTTTAACTATTGAATATGTCAAATTATAGTTAAAAAAAACTAAAGTAATAATTATAAATTACTAATAAAGTAGTTATTAACAATTAGTGTTAAGCTTTTTAATAATACATAATTAGTTTAAATATTAGATATGCAAGGTTATTATTGTAAAAAAATTTAAGTGATAATTGTAAGTTACTGATAAAGTAGCTGTAAATTATTTAATTGATGTAATGTATTTTTAACAGAGGTATTATTATCTTTTAATTATAATTTTAAATTATACTCATGTTTCAAGAAATTTGGGCGTAGTTTTTAGATTTCACTTGACTTATTTGCAGACAAATTTACTCCATGAAACCTATACATAATTTTTAAAAAAAAAAATCTTGAAATATGTAAATGATAAAGGGATCTTTTAAAATATCATAATTATTTTCAGATCTCTAGAGATCTTTATGACATTACAAATTTTTGGTAAAATAATTAAAATGCCTCATTTTAAAATAAAAAAGTAAATATCAGTGATAATTTTAATTTAAGTTATAGCTTTTTTGCTTTTAGAAATGACTAAAATGTAATAGTCAATTATAATTTTTCTTGTGTTAATATTTTATTCATTAAAGTTTAAGTATTATAAATATCGTGATTACATTAATTTAAATAATAATTATATTATATTTCTTTTAATATACCGTGCTTTAAATAGAAATAATTTTAATAGAAGAATAAAAGAACAACTCAGCCGCTATGTCATCGTGATCAACTCCACAAGACCACAATGCTTGCCAGTCGCCAAACACCTGCTGTTTGTTTATTGGCAACAAGCAAAAGGACCCCATAACGATGTTATCTTGGGGATATTTACTGTTGCTGTTAAGGATTTTTTTTTTTCCTATGCACAAAAGTCAAGTTAAATTGATTTTTGAGAGTTCATCAAGATTAAAATATATATTTAAATTTAAACAACATTTATAAAGATATTTATAAATCACTCACTGATAAAATTCTTCCATCGATGGTGAATCTTGTAAATTATAAATAAAATTTTTATCAATTAGATTAATTTTTATTTGTACTTCCAGGGATATTTAATTTGTTAAAATTCACAAACACGGCTTAGGGTTAACTTATGCCAATTTTTAAGCCTCTGTTTTTAAGAAATTCTGGTTGGATGAGGTAAAATAATAATACGTGAAATTCTTATGAAGCCATTTTTTAAAATCAGAATTTATGTTGAAGTAAGTTTTAAGGTATCGTGTGAAATCACGACACGTAGAATGCTTATTAATGAGCTTTTTTTCTTTTATTTTGGGGGGGGGGGGGGTTTGGTTTCTTCCATTAAAGAAGACGTCACTCGATTTCTCGCAACAAGGACCAGGCAGGAATGCATTCTTTTAAAAGTCTTCAAGGGCACAAAGGAAATTATAAAATCAGCGATCCGTGGTGGTTATAAAATGAATCAGTCGATCGATCCTGATGTTAGTTAAACATCATTTTTTTTTTTTAATGTCAGAATCGAAGAATTCTTATTTATTTACGTCTTCCAGTATTTGCAAAATTCGCTATCATACCAATTTAAAAGTGCAAAAATCACACCGCATGGTTTGATCATGCTTTGAATATCAGCGCACGTGGCCACTTCCAGACGCAAATATCTTAACATAAGTATCGTATATTTGACATATTCATTGGAACGAATTCATAAAAATTTGATCCTCCGTTTAAAAGAAACATTTGTATAAAATACGATGAATACAATTAAGCTAATCTTTCACTATGTAATTGTTTTCCGAAGTCAACGAACTCCCATTTATCGGTTTTAATTAACTAGACTCTTGTACCGCGAATGAGGTTAGGCGTTTAATAATTGGCTGGCACGGTGAGGCAGGAACATTGTTCAACAACATCCTTGGCAATAATGCCCACTTCTGATCAAAACCAATCCTCAGAAATTCCTCTTACTCTGAACCAGAACGGAAAATCCTTCGTCACCCTCCGATGACGCAGCCACAGAACAGCCAGCTGATGATGAAGCCGACGTGGCAGCTCAGCCCCGCCGGGAGGGCCGAACGAGACAAATGGAAGAATATTTCAGATACGATAAAGAGAGAGATAAAGCCAGCGATGTACGGACTTCCCTCCTCACCGTGGCGGTTCTAATGGCGACGGCCACCTATCAGGCCCCCGGCGGCGGCGTTTGACAGGACGACAATCTGAATGTGAATCCCAAACAGCTTGCTGGGGTATCCATCATGGGTACCAAAAGTACTGTTACTTTTGCATGGCTCATGTTTGGGAACACCCTGGGCTTTTATTTCTCTATCTACATGATCTACTTCCTCACCCGCGGCTTCCCTCTCCGGTTGGAGCTCACCTTCGCCACGCTCGGAATGATAGTCACTTACTGTATCTCCATGGTCGCCGTCTCACCCAACAGCTCCCTGAGCTTTGCTTTTAATGGCTTCTCGATTGTTGTTCCCATCTCCCCGCCTTTTATAGTTCGATTTTTGAGAGACTCTAAGCTTGTTTGCAGAATCAGAAAAGCCGTGAAAGGGTTTTGCGCCACCCGTCAACCATCCATGTGATGTATGATCATCCACGTCCGGCTATAACCAAGTATGATCTCCCTATCCGTTTCTGTTTTATTGTCTTTCCAAAGATTTAGGGCCTCTTTAAAAACTTATTTTGGAGAACAGTAATAAGAAAATAAAAAAATTTATTTGGTAATATATTTTTAAAAAGTTTTTTGAAAAATAAAAAAAATATTATTCTGAAGAACAGAAAAATAAAAATAACTTTTAGGTATTCTGGAGAACAAGAAAGAATGAAAAAAACACCTATTTTTATAATTTTTTATTTTCAGAATATATTTTACAAAACATAAATTCTCAAAACAATAAAACAAAAACAATTTCAAACAGTCCCTTAAACTTGTTTTCTATCTGTGCATTGGGGAAAAAAGGAAAGAGCATAGAGCCTTGTATAGCTAATTAACAATCAATAATATTTTGATATATTATCAGATGTCATCAACAGCCAGCCAGAAAAGAGCTAGTTTTTTTATAATGACAAATAAAGTTCAAATATCTTATTGCTTTTACAAGTATACGAGATCACATTAATAAATTATTTGGAATATTTCAGGTGTCAAACCCACAGAAAAGTTATATTTTTATTAATTTAAATAATTAATAATTCAAGAAAATAGATAAGATGAATAATTTTGATGAAAAATAAATAATAAAAATAAATTAAGAAAATAATGATGATAAAAATACAATCACTTAAAGTGTTGGGGTTTAGTATTCACTCTATAAGTTGTTAGTTTCTACCATTTGAATTGACTCTGATTAATTATAGTGACAATTATTTTTAGAGTGTCCTAATATTCTCCTAAATTATTAATCCTTTTTTAATTAATGTTAAATTCATTTTCACGACACTCAAGTAATTAATTAAACCGTAAAGTTATAGTTTAAATTACAATAAATTTTTAGAATTATCCTTGGGTTAGTTATTTATGTCTATTTTTTTTAGATTTAGATTCTCTCTTCGCCTCCCAGTTTATCAAAATTATTAATAGATTTGATTAAATGATGGTCAGTTATTAAATCAATATGAAAAATTAAAAAAAATAAATAAAATTAAAAAAGATAAAAATATTCATAAATATAAATGTAAAGAGTCAAAAAAAAATTAGCTCTCCAGTTGGACTACATCCCTGCCCCAACTAAGTAATTTAAAAATACATAATAAAATTAAATAAAATCATTCTAAAATCCTCAATCATGAAAAATGATCATAGAAAAAAATTAAGGAGTAGAAAAAAATAATTATGAATTGTAGAACCCTTCAAAGATCTCACTTCTAACCTTCAGACTGTTTTTACGAGTTTTAAATATCTTAAAAAAAATTATTGAAATAGTCAAATAAATGATTGAATTCATTCGCTTTTGATAATGAAAAGTATTTATAATTAAGTGAGATTTTAATATATATATTTTTATGTATCTCTTTTTTATTGTTTGAAAATCACATACACACATGCACGCGCGCGTTTTTTTATTTGATTTATTTATTTTTTTATAAAATATAAAAAGATATGAATAGATTTTGTATTAAAATTTTTTTTATGTTATAATTAAGTGATGTGAAAGAAATATATAAATATTAATTAAATATATATGAAATTTTAATAAATATAATTAAATTTAAATTAAAATTTATATTTATTTAATTATAAAATATGCACTTATTAATATCTTCATAAAAAGTATCACAGTATCTCAGATAAAGTTATCACTGATAGAAAAATGCACATGAATAGGTAATACACACACATTCAATGTTAAAGGTGTAAATAGTTTTTTTGTCTTTTGGTATTTAAAACTAGATGATAGAATTTTTAGATTTTTTTATATTTATTTAAATGGTTTGCTTGCCATTAATTCACTCATAAATTTAATTTAAACCTGAAGTAATCACGGAGAACGAAAACTCTTGACTTTTGAGTGAATGCAAACAGATCACGTTCGCCCGCATCTTGTTTTTTCAGCAAGCTAGCACAATACCACTCTCTATGACTGTACTACATCTTCTGGCTTGGGAAAGGAAAAGAAAGAGGGGGGGGGGGGGGGGGGAAGAGCATTACCTCAATTTTGGTGTGGAGACGATCCATTCCCACCCATGTCATTATTTGCTCGAGAGGCAAATGCATCCGAAAATGGAAGGAATCGTCGCCTCTGTCACCGGAGCGTGACAGAAAAAACCGGGGGCGGCTCGATGATGGGGAAATTAATCACAAGCCGTCAGGTGAGGTGGTCATTCTTGTTCTGATTGTTGAGGCTGAAGGCGTCTTTGACTCCGAGGCTATTGAGGTTGTTGTTCTGACCGTCGTGTCAGAGACTGATTCTGGCCATCCCCCTCGACGTCGAATGGTCGAAGCGGCTGAGGGCTGTCGAGGAACAGACTCCTCCATGTGGATTTGGGCTTTGAATTCCTCCATATTGTTCTAAGAAGGATACATGGGCTTCATGGCCCACTCTGAGAGAAGGGCGCGGAACTCAGGAATCCTTTGATGGCCATAAGGGGGGCAAAACATTTTTCATCAAGATGCGAAATTCTCAGGAAAAAAATAAGAAATACTTATTATGATTTTATAATCATGATTTAAAAATAACCTTAATCGTTATTATTTCTTTTTCGGACAAGGAAAAATGATTTTTCATCTACAGAGAAACTTTTTATTTCATTCTATTCAAAAAAACGGCATTTTAAATTTTGAATTAGGTTCCTAAGCTTGCTCACATATCCACGAAATGATGGTTTATTTTCCTTCCAAAAAGAAAAAAGGGATAATCTGTCTTTTCATCTAGTCAATTTGAACTTGACATACTATGTGATTGAGGCTTCACTCTTCAATTTTCGAACAAACTGGCTGCTTTAGTGCTTCTCCTGTTTTGATTCCTTCTTGGTTAGGTGCGCCCCTTGCTCGTGCTTCCTGCCATGCATTCCCTTCCCCGCCTTTTTTCCTTTGCCCCTTCTCTTCTCTCCTTATTTTACCTGCTTCACAGGCATTAATATTTGTATTCTGTGCATCTTCATGTGCAAGGTATCTAAGGACCGATCATTCTACAGTGCGTGTCTTCTCCTGGGTTTGCTGATTTATCATGCTTTATTTATCGTCACCGACACGGCAAACGATATATGATTTATTTGGATATTATCTACACCAATGCCATCATACTCTTTTTATTCCCCCCCCCCCCTAGTGTTTGCACGATGAAAGTGGAGACAATGATATCCAAATAATTGGGATGGTCAATGATCATGCTTTATGGCTGTCCCTAATCCTCATCTTCCGAAAATGGCGCAGATTAAGAGAGTGGATGCAAGTAGTGAGTGTCTGGGAAGCCACTATGACCCAACATTTCAGAATCATAATCTGATATTCTGGCTGCTCCCTCATTTCATATCACTTTCTTTCTTTTGTTTTTTGGGATGAAATTTCATATCAGTTTGTTGTGTAGTGATAATAATCCATTGATCCGTGTGGACTGATGTCTATCTTATATGATTTATCACAGGCTGAAATTCCCAATGAACAGCTAATTAAGGTGAAGCGGGTTCTGGATTTTAATATCTATTCATTTGCTTAAAGTTAAAGATCACAACAATTTGTAGGCCATACTTTCATAAACTCTAACACCCACTTTCCATTCCATTTTTTTTTAATTTGTCCGCACTTCTGACTTCACCGTATGTGGAAATCACGGTGTGCTTGGGTCCACCAGCTTTCACATCGCCTTTCTCCACGGTCCCCCGAGAGAAATCGATTTCATCAATATTTCAATATATTAACACATATACGCATAACGCCACCATTAATTTATTAAGGATGATCTAACTAACTCCTTTACCAGTAATTCACACATAAATTTAATTAAGTTTAAATCTGAAGTCATGGCAGAGGACATATACTCCTCGTTCAAGCATGAATTTCAAAATCTCCGGGCTGAAATTTGTCTTATACGTACTAATAATCGCTATCATTTACTTTGCGCCCGTGACTCTCGCCTCAATTGCGGTCACACTGCTTGCTCCGTCAGCTTTGCCTCTCTCTGACCCACATGTAATCGATTTTTATCATTTTCCCAATCCCCCTGCAAAATAACCACGAATATTTAATTACAATTTGAATCTGGATGCAATTTTTAGTTTTTACTACTCATTTTTATCATCCACACTCACTTTCTTACCGAATAAACCACACATCTTAATGTTAGGTAGCAGTCAAATGTTGATCCAACTATCCATCCAACGATATCTTTCAAAAAGGAGATCCCGCAAGAAAAAAGAGACAGACTATTCCTACTCTTTTCCTATAATTTAAAATGCACTTATCATAGAACCCAGACAACGCACGCACCCCGTACCCATAACTTTTTCCCCCCACAGAAGTTTCCGGGAAGATGAATGGAAATTAGATTTAATGGACACCACATGATAGCTCCCCCATCTCAATTCAAATAAAGAAAAAAGCATATAAATGGACCCACTTGTATGCATAATGCTTGGATGTATTCTAATGGCCCATGATTGCTATTGTACAGTATTCTTGTGTGACCAGCGTATAAACCCAATCCACAAGAAAAAACGAAAGCACTTGCACTGTAATTAACAGCATAAATAACTCTGAATCTGCCAAGCAAACTCTACAACACTACAAGGATGGGACAAAAAGAACCAAAAAGAAAATTGAAGTGATAATTTTCTCAAATTAATGGAACAAACAATGATCATGCGAGAAGGCAAGACAAGCACGCGTCCTCCTTGGACTATGGGATCAATGCAAAAATATTCTTCTAGGCGTTAATTTAAATGTTCCAAATTCAAACACATCTTAGGTACAGTCACATTCCTCCTCTCAAAGCTTCATCTCCGTCACCCAATAATACAGGCACAGAGAAGGCCGAAATCAAACCCAATCTCTTCCGAGCTTACCATGTTATCACGACCATTATCTACGGTTGCAACAATACTATTTGTTGTTGCACAAATATTTGTGACTGTGATTTCAATCTCAGAGGGTGATAAGATCAGCAGCTTGCCGGGGCAGCCCACGGTGAAGTTCCAGCAATATGCCGGTTACATTACCGTCAACGACAAGCAGCAGAGAGCTTTGTTTTACTACTTTGCAGAAGCAGAAGTAGACCCTGCTTCCAAGCCTCTGGTTCTCTGGTTGAATGGAGGTATGATTTTAAGGATAAACCGGCATCGCAATACAGAAATCTTTGGGGTCTCTTCAATGAAAGATGCAATTAACATGGTTTCTGGGTTTCTTGTTCTTTTGTTTTTGAAGGGCCTGGGTGTTCGTCTCTCGGAGCTGGAGCTTTTGTTGAGCATGGACCTTTCAAACCGACCGAAAATGGTCTGGTTAAGAATAATTGTAGCTGGAACAAAGGTTAGTCCAAGACACCAGCCAGAACTGTAAATTCTGAAACTGGAATCCAAATTGCTGAGTGATCTTCTCCCCGTTTCAGAGGCAAATATGCTATACCTGGAATCACCAGCTGGAGTTGGTTTCTCTTACTCTGCCAACAAATCTTTCTACGGCTTTGTCAACGATGAAATAACAGGTTCTTTCACTCAATTAATTTTATGCGTGCCAGAATCTTTTTTCTTTTTGTGGGTCTGAACATGCTTGAATCTAACTGGCACTAAAAATTCAGGGATAGGGATCAATAGGTAGAATTCAAGGGGCCCTAGTTTCCTTGATATCTAAGGACCCGTTTGGTTACTAAAATTGGACTTTAGACAGGAAAAAAGAATAGGCATTACCTCAACCTTGGTGTTTAGTTTATAGAAGCCCTTAAATGTCATCATTTGCTGGAGAGGCGAATTCATCCGAAAATGGAAGGAATCATCGCGAACGGCGGAATGTGGCCATTCTTGTTCTAATCGTAGAGGTTGACGACATCACCGACTCCACGGCTGTTGCGTTGAGGCTCTGGCCATCCTCTCGGTCTCGGAGACGGATTCTGGCCCTCCCCATTGCCGTCAAAGCGGCTGACGGCTCTTGTGAGGAGAGAGGCTCCTCCACCATGGCATACTGTGGCACAGGGTACTGAGGAAGACCGAGATATGGGCTTCGAGTTCCTCCATCTCGTCCAGAGTATATGGGCTTCTAGGCCCACTGAGACAGAAGATGGCTCAACTTGATTCGTTTCACTGCTTTACGAATATTTTTCATTAACACATGAAACACTTTCCTTCTCCAAGGAAAAATATATATATATATATATAATATTTATTATAATCTCGTTCTCATAATCATCATTATAAAAATTATATATATATATTATTATTATTTCATTTCAAGGTGATGAAAAAATTTATTTTCATCTGCAAAAATGACAGCAAAATTACTTTTTACTTCGTTCTATTCTATTATTTATTTGAGGGGCAAATAGCGTCTTAGATTTTGTCTGAGTCTAGTGTCGAAACTTGAAAGTACGAGTAACCTTTCTCTTTCTATTCTTACTCGCGTATTCATGAAATGGCGGCCTGTTTTCTTTCACAGCAAGGGATAATCTTGCTTTCCTTCAGCGTTGGTTTGATAAGTTTCCACAGTACAAGAATGCTGATTTCTTTATCACTGGCGAAAGCTATGCAGGTAATGATCAGAGCGGTACCTTTGAGATCAATGAATATATATTAAAACTGCAAAAACTAACACATTTTTTAATTTTCAGGCCATTATGTTCCTCAGCTTGCACAACTCATTGTTCAAACCAAGACTCCGTTCAATCTCAAGGGAATCGCAGTGAGTATAAAAGGAACGAGAAACACTCCCCCCATATTTTTATTACAAGATTCTACTGGCAAGTTCTACATGGTTTATCAAATTTTGTTAAAATTAGTTAACCATTTTAGAGCTTAAACATCAATAAAATTCATAAATAAGAAGAGGTTATTTAGTTAGTCAGGAAATATTGGCAAAGGATTATTTATGAGAAAAAAATTAATGTTTTAGACAAAAAAGAAAAATCTTATATTAATAAGAATCATGATGAAGGTCCTTGTAAAAGGCACCAGAGGGAGTAGTAATTATTGAGCATGAGTCAGGTAACGTAGAGTGTGAATTGAGTATGATAAAGATAACCGGCTGATTAATATGTTGATTTGTGCAGATAGGGAATCCTCTGTTAGAGTTTAACACAGATTTCAACTCAAGGGCAGAATATTTTTGGTCTCATGGACTAATATCAGATTCAACTTTCGAGAGGTTGAACACAGTATGTAACTATTCCCAAATCAGGAGGCAAGTTCAAAGCGGAGCTCTCACTCCAGTCTGTGCGGGAGTTAATAAACTAATGTCGAGGGAAATTGGTAAATATGTTGATACTTATGACGTCACTCTTGATGTCTGCTTGTCAACAATAAATCAACAATCTTTTGTGTTAAACCAATTGGTAAGCTACTACTTCTTTTCTTTTCTAGTCCTTGAGATACATCTTTCCCGTTTCGTGAAGTTATTAAACCGTTATTCTTCCTTCATTAATTTTTTGCACAGCAAGAGACCCAAAAGGTTGACGTTTGTGCAGGCGATGAAACAAATGATTACCTAAACAGGAAAGATGTACAAGAAGCTCTCCATGCTAAGCTTGTAGGACTCACCACATGGTCTGTTTGTAGCGAGTAAGTTATGTTCTTTACAGCTTACAATACAGCAAACCACCCAGTAATAAAACACCAAAATCTTGAGTGAGTAAAGAGAGTTCTCATTTTTAACTAATTCCATACTATTGCAGAGTTGTCAAATATGACTTGCAGAATCTAGAGACACCAACAATTCCTATCCTCGGGAAACTTGTTGAGTCAGGCATTCGAGTTATGGTATATAGGTAATTGAGTCCTGTTTTTGTTGCTTGAAATCTACTAAGATTCGTCAAAACAAGATTTCATTTTTAGAAACAATTCATGCACAGCGGAGATCAAGATTCGGTGCTTCCACTAACCGGGTCGCGAGCTCTAGTAAATGCGCTAGCCAAGGAAATTAGATTCAATACGACCGTGCCCTACAGAGCGTGGTTTGAAGGCAGACAGGTTGACATTCTAATCGCGCCAAAAAAGAACTAATCTTTTAGTTTTATTTTATTCTTTTTCGCCATTGACATATATAAATTAATTCTTGGCTTTTCTATCTTGAAGGTTGCGGGATGGACACAAGTGTATGGTGGCATTTTATCATTCGCCACAATAAGAGGGGCAGCTCATGAAGCTCCATTTTCACAGCCAGAGAGATCACTCGTGCTATTTAAATCATTTTTGGAAGGCAAACCACTTCCTGAATTCCCTTCTTCATGAATACGTATCACAAATACCTCTATTCGCTATATTCAGTAACGCAAACACAATTTCGATAAACCCTGTCTGAACTTGTTATTGCTAAACTCTCTTAATTTATATTTTTTTTTCTCTACCCCTTTTTATATATAGACATTTCAAATCTTAACAGAAGTAAGCCTCAGTAAAAAAATATATATATATGCACACACACACATTTTTTCTCATAGGCACATAGTGGCACGCGTTCGAAGCTTACACGTAACTGTGTAAGTTAGTCCCAAGTTAACCGAATCGAAAAGAATCCAATGCACCAACTAATTTTCTCCATTTAATTTATCTGAAGACATGGATGAAGAAATAAATGAATAAAGCAAACGACAAGACAAGCATGCGTCCCCCTTGGACTGTGGTGCTGATGCAAAAATATTCTCCTGGGCGTTAATCTATGTATTCCAAATTCAAACATATCTTATAGCTTCATCTCCACCGCCAATAAATAGGCCAAAAAGAAAAGCCAATCGCTTCAACATGTGACCACGCTCGTGTTTTATGGCTGCAACAGTATTACTTCTTGTTGCACAAATATTTTTGTATGTGATTTCAGTTTGAGAGGGTGATAAGATAAGTAGCTTGCCAGTGCAGCCCCCTAGTAAAGTTCCAGTAGCAGAGAGCTCTGTTTTCCTACTTTGCAGAAGCAGAAGTAGACCCTGCTTCTGAGCCCCTGCTTCTCTGGTTGAGGTGTGCTTTTACGGATAAAGTACTATGGCACGACAAATCTTTCGGGGCTCTTGAATGAAGGACACAATTAAAATCAGTAGTTTGAGGTAACTATGGGATTATTTGACTTACGCTAATACTTGTTAGATTTATTTAGGTTACTGTGAACATATTCAATGTGACGTTTTACTCAAATATAACTCATTTATTGTTTTAGGAAAATATATGTAAGTCGTCTCTGTGACAGATACTGGCCATCGTCGTCGATGTGGAAGAGGTTGAAGACTTTGGGAGGTATTGAGATACCGAGAACGAGAAGACAGACGCGTGGGCTTCGAGTTCTTCCAGCTAGTTGAGACCATATGAAAGTCTGGGTTTCCAGGCCGACTGCCTCGGAACAAGGCTTAGCTCGGAGCAATTATTTCACGGCTTTCGGGGTAAAAAACTATTTTTTTCACAAAAATCTAAAACATCCCCCCTGTAAAAAAGATATGAAATATTAATTTTAATCTTGAAAATATCATTTTAAAACTAAATTGAATTTTTTATATTTATTTACATAAAATGAAAACAATGATTTTCGTCACCAACATTACTTTTTATTTCTTCATATTCTATTATTTGAGCAAAAGACGTCTTACATTTTGTTGCAATCTTGTCTGGTGATGAAAGTGTGATAAATGAAATATCCCTATTCTTATCAGCATGAAATAAGTAAATTTCTTTTATTTTTGGGTGCTGGAAACCCTTCAGATGATTTTAGTGGATTTTCCCCTAACTAAAGAGAACTGGGGACTTGGTGTTAACAAATTAACGCGAGAATTTAGTTTAGATGAACGTCTCGTATAATTTTCCAACTTTCAAAAAGCGTGCGCAACAATGATGGGTCATTTAACTAATTAATCTCATTCCATCATTTCTGATGGTTAGTCTTTCAATCATGAATTAATATCTCAGTTTAGCCACCTTAAAGACGATCTCACCTGTTGCTATGTCGATTCATTGTACTCACTATTGCCATTTAAGGGGGTCAACGTCCAAATAATCCTGTCTTCAAATCAGGGTAGTTTTTCAATCCCCAGGCGGCCAGCCTAGCTACTTAAACTTGTAGGTAGAGTTGTACAAAGTACCGGCCTAACAGTACTTCGGTATAGTTTAAAGTTTGATCCCTTTTATAAAAATAATTAAGTCAAACAACTCATTATTTAGTCTGATTTTAATATAACTTGAAGTTAAATAGGATCAGATTGATCCAATAAAATTAAGAGATTAGTTTAAATATTATTTAGTATCTCACTTTATTTTTTCTTTTTAATCTATGAAAGATAGCAATTTATTTTAATATAATAAACTTAATTGATATAATAAAATTATTTATAGTCATAAAGTTTATTACAACAACAACAACTATAAATCCACAATAATGTTTAACAATGAAAAAAGCATTTCAGTTACAAAATAAATGACTCAAATAAAATAACCTTTAACAATATTAAACAACATTCAACATGTCTAAAGTCCATTACATCAAGTTAACAACAAATTTTACCAGTAAAAAAGAAAATTAAGGTTAGTTAATGCTAAAATTTTGCTCAATATTTATAACTTTACAGTATAAAATGCAAAAAATTGTTAATTATTATTATAAATTAACTTATTGTAATAATAATTAATAAATTAATTATAATTGTATTAAATAAATTTATAGAACCGAATTGAACTAAGTGATCCAGATAATATTAGTTCTCTTGTTCAATCTAACTTAAATAAAGAGTTTGATTCATAACCACTTAACTCATAGTAATGCAAGTAAAGGATTTCCAGGAGTCTGGCCACACACACACACATATATATACCAATTTTGATGATCTCATTTCACGTATTCAATTTGACATGGGGAGGAGCATGGATTAGAAGTTATTCCTTCCGTTGTTAAATGTAAATAAACTTTAATAAATTCATCCAATTTAAAAATTTAATGTTATGTTTGCAATTAAAAATTTTGAACTATGCTGCCCTTGTATTAATAAAACAGATTTATATTGTGAAAATAAACTTTAATATTATGAAGGGTAATTTATGAAAAATGTATTGAATGTTCTTAAATTTTATAGTTTTACTCATAAAAAATAAGAGCATAAATGTTAATTTCTCTTGTAAAAACAGTAGTTGTGTTATCGGACAAAAGTTAAAAAAAAAAAAAATTAACGGACGGCATCGTGTCTTACGTGATGATATTGTCCGATTTACATATCCACGAGCCTCAATCATGTGTTTTACTCCCAAAGAAGCCTATGCTCATGCATTTTTGGAAAAGCTCTCGCCAAGTTCGCTTCGCTGTCTGTATTCAAACGAGAACCAAAATGATATACTAAATGATAACGAAGTTCCATATATACATGCCCCCTTCTGCATTTCGTCCTTTCGTTTCTATCAGCTCATATCCGCAATCCAAAGCAGAGGCTGCTCCATCGAATTTCTCATCCTTTCCACCTCACATTCTCTCCAGCTAGCAAGCTATTAGTATAGCCAAACGTACAGAAACAAAGCCCTGACACAGTAAAGCCTGATTTTTGGCTAATGATGCTATTATATATCAGTTTACGGTCCACGAAACGGGGATCAGATTAGGTGGAAATTTAACTTGGTGGTGAAAATCGATCAGATATATATTCGTCTTTCAGGAAGATGCCGAATAAGATCATGCATGACGCATATGTATATATGCTTTTTCAGCACAGCACCGTTGTTCTTCATGTGGCCTTAATTATTACATTATCTTTAAGTTGTGAAAATTAGAGGACAACTTTCCATGGCTTTCATGCCCTAGCTAGTCCTCGATCCAAAAATTAAAGTGAGCAACAACACACAATCATTTCTAGTAAGAAAGTAAGATATACGTGTTTTCCGAATTTCTCTCCCACCTCTTTCACTCGTGGCCCACAGGCACATCACCAGCTCCAGCAGTTTCCCTTAATAATTTATTTATATACTTTGTATATTTCTTATCTTCATCTGTTATATGTATCATCTCGATCGACCCTGCTATTCCAAACTGGTGGGATTCATTCCGCAAATATATACATGGCTGTTGGCAGATAATGTAAAATTTCTGTGCCTTGGTGATATCATAATAATATTAAACTTTTCCATAACTACTTGACTAGTTATTTAAAGTAAATGAACATGTTCCCTCCTTGTTTTTTGACTTAATAATCATCTAAGAATCACTGGGGACTGTGACCTGGTATAGGAATTACAAGGCAAGCAAAGCTTGAAAAAGGTATATATATCATATGCAAGGGCAGAGACATAAATTTTTATCGGGGGCCGAAATGACAATATATTTTTATTCAGTTTTATAAATACATAACATAAAAATATACTTTCATTTTTAAGTTTTGCTCTTATTTTTCCATGGCATAAAAATAATTAATTATCATACATATGATAAACTTTTTAAATTGGTGAGTCATATGAATCCGTCAATTTGGTAGTTGCCACTTGATGTGAATTAATAAGGCATAATTATGCGATTAAGTGAGCTACCGCACTCCATTACAAAATCTGATGGAGAGTCTAATCACAGATTAGTTTGTTTCAAGCGAAGCACGTTATTTGTCAAAGAAATCAACTTCCTTAATTAACTTTGTTGAAATCCCATTGCCATGGATGTTTAAATTTCTATGCCCCTTCCCACGTTGGTGTTTGGGAAGTTTCACGGTCAAAGACGTAACCGTAATTTTGTCCGGTCCTCTGTAAGAAAAGAAGGTATATTCATCAAATTAATGATGTCATATGTGGACACAGAATGACAAACATAAGGGACTGATGGATTGATCTAATGCATTTGACAAAAAAATAATCAATCTAGCTGGAGATATTCCATGTGAAAAATCAATCAGTTTTGAATTATTTATTCCCACTATATATGAAATTTGTTTTGAGCATTTCGTTAGCCACATGCATGTACGGGGCTGCAGTCAGCATTGTTTTCTTCTTTTTGTTTTTTCGTTTTAATTTAATTTAGTTGCACTGTTTGAAATTTGAATGGTGATACGGTTGCAATCAATTAAGACGCGACATTATTTTACAATGGAAAAGGATGGGGCAGGAAAGTTACTTAAAAATAAATGCGCGCAACATGTTGCTTATTTTACGGTGCATTTATTGTAATATAATTGATTCGGTAGCTAAAAGCTTTAACTGCAGTTTTCATGAATATATAAAAATCATTGTTTTTCTTGTTAAAAATATCTGCAGGAGTCCGTGCGCTGGTCAATATCAATAATGGGTCTGCCCTCATATGATGCCAACAGTGCAACAATTCAACTGTTTTCTGGACCGTCAAATTATATAAAATTTAACAACATACTCGTCCTGACATTTCATAATTAAAAGAAGTAATTAAAATTATAATCTTTTTTTTTAAATCATCTTTCCATTTATCTATGGTCTCCTTATTTATTTTATACAAACAACTTGATAATGGGATCAATAATTACATTGAAGGCCATCGACCTGAAACCCTGATATTGCAAGAATTAATAATCATAAATTCGACGATATTCTTCTCTTCGTAGTATAATATTACACACGTGAAAGTGAAAGCGCGGCGATTTACATTAATATTAGAAAATACTAAGAAAAAGATTTACTGATGACATTCCATTTTGATGGAGTAGTGTGAAATATCCCATCATCAAAACATTTCAACTTAGATTTAGATGATATGGCATGGTGCTGATAAAGAATGGCTGAAGAGACACTGCAAATAGGGAAAGCCAGGGAGGCGATAAAGAAGAGAACAACAACAGTGGTAAAACTTTGACAAGAAGATTCACATATATGTGTATCAATTATATCTGGCGGGCTAGTCATGAGTAGAACTTTAGAAAGTGCATTGGGAAGCTTTCATTTCACTTTAAGCCTTTCAAAACCCTCATTTTTGTCTCTCCCTTTCCCACTCTCACCTTTTCCTTCTCCCATTTCTTCCTTTTCTGCTACTTTCCTTCCTTGCTGCTTGTGTTTGTCTCGGGGTTGAGTGAGACAAAACCCGGCTCTGAAATCTGCATTTTCTTTTAAGTATTTTTCAGCATACTATCAAGAAAGTGTGGCACCAAGTTCCATGCATCTTGACTCTCCCCATTTCATTTGACTTTTCCTCTCTGTTAGAACTCCTGCCCATAAACGCTCCATTAACTCCTTGCTTGTATAATTAATAGCCATATATATATCTCACAGTCTCCCTCACCTTCGCCTTCAGTGTCAAATCTCGAGCGATCCTGCCTGAGTCGTCCTGCGGACATCGATCTCAATCCCATGCGATGGTCTGTGCAAGGAGCAAGAAGCAGATGGGGCTGATGGTTGTACTGTTTCTGGCCCTCCTTACTCTTTCACAATTCACCGCTCCATGCCTTGCTGGAAAATCCAGATTTCACAGTTTCAAACCTACCTCTGCCTCCTCTGCTTCTCAGCTCAAACCTTTTGACTCCCCACCCGCCTTCAGAGCAAATACAAACGATAAAGATGATGAGCAAGACATTTTTGGAGCCGACAAGAGGAAAGTCTACACTGGTCCTAATCCTTTACACAACAGATAAGTTCATTACCAGAGATACCAATTAACCTCTTGGTCGAATTCTAGCTTTAATTCCTCCTCTCAAAATCCCTCCTTCTTCTTTCGTTTTTACCATCTTATTCTTGATCTGCCCGTAATTAAGTTTTGCAGATGTATATACGTGTAAGACTTAGAGTTGAGATTATATTGTTGAGAAGAAAATATTTATGAACTAATATTGAAAAGAATATAGTATGAGGAAATTCAGATAATTCTTGTCAACCGTTATATTCTGAAGACTATCAACTTGTGCTGTCTATCAAGCTATTAATGCGCGTTGTTTGTTGGTGCGATTAATTAATTACTGTTGTCTGCTTTTGCTTTCAGATTCTGATCTGTCTTCGTATGCATGCGCGTCCTCTTGTCCTCTTCGCTTTTGATTAATTTCTTCCCAGAAATCAAAATCACGCGCATGTCATAATTGGGTTGCATATGAATAAATCCACCCTCCAAGGCTTACAGATGTAACTGGTAAAAACTTATCCGGTAATAATCAGTCTAACTTTTGGTGTCTGTACTGCGTTGTGCGTGCCTATATATTGCAACGAAAGATTTTGGTAAAATAAACAAGTACATTAATTAATTCATATCCACTCTCTCCAAATGAAAATATAAGTCATATATTAATTAATTCATGATTTAAAAATAATATTAGTTAAAAATGACAATTTTTTTAAAATATTCACATCTTTTCATTATACCTTTATTAAATACTTTATATAAAAGTCTTTATAATAATAATTAAAATTTTAATACATAATTTTTTAAAAAATAATAAATAAAGTAGGAGTATAATTAAAAAAATAAATATAAAAATTATTTAATACTCTCTCCATCTTAAATTATAGGACACTTTAAAAAAAAAATTTCCATCTCAAAATTTAAAATACTTTGAGTAGATTAAAATTTTATTAAATACTCCAATTTTAATATTATCTTTTCTCTCTTTATAATTAATTTTCATCACTTCTCTTTTCAATATATTAAATGATGAATATTTTTAAAAGTTTAAATGTTTATTTTGAAAAGATAGAATTGTTAGGTGTATTTAATAAAATTTATTAATATGTGAGATTTTACTTAAAAATATTTTATAATTTAAGATGAAGGGAGTATTTTTTATTTTGGATGAGACCAAATTTTTATAAGATATTTTATATTATAGAATATAGTATGTATAATTTGTTTACTGTGCTAAAAAATTTAATCCAGTCTAAATTGTTCGGTTCACTCTATCGGAGTCATGCAAGGCTGGCTCAACCTGTCTATATCATTGCACATGAACAGCCTTACATATCGCAGTAAAAGTTGATCTCCATATAAAGAAGGGTGATGTACACTTGTCTTTTAGAGATTTTAATTTTATTGTACGTAACGTGGGTATAGGGGTTGTGTCATGTATGCTACTATAGTGTGGTGTAAGATAGAATTTGATCCGTGGATGTACATGAAATTTTTCAACCTCATCAAAACCTTTAATCATGAAGCTGAGTGAAGCAAGAATCAAATTTAAATGTCGATATCTGTCTAAATTTCTTTGTCGTCATTATGAGGCGGACCCCACCACTGCAAACTTCTTCTTCTTCTTTTTTGATACTGCATAAAGGCTTAATAGGAAAAGGGGGAGCAGGTTTTTTAAATGTTTTATCTGATTCAAAATATTAAATATTGAATAAAAATTATATATTTTTTAAATATACAGTTACTGTAATGAATAATTAATGAGTATATTTTAAATAAATTAAACATTATATTTCTTGCACTCGATGTTAAGATTAAAAGATGTAAAAAAATTACAAAATCAATATTTTAAACAATTTTTTTGAGAAATATAAATTAATTAATAATAATTTATATTGTGGTATAGAGGGGAGTATATGAATGCAATTTATGCATACAAATTATGTCATGGTTCAGTTCAAACACTTTTATATTATGTGCATAAAATTAAGGTTGAATAAAAATTGCATAAAACTCTTTGAACGTTAAAGTGGTTGCAAATGACCCCTCATTTTAAATTTTTAAAATTAAACCTCATAATTTTTGATTTGTTTTTAAATCTCCCACTGTTAATTAATTTTGTTATGTTATTAATAGAGCTTGCCACGTCAGATTAATGCAATACAAATAGCATGTGATATGAAAAAATAATTTTTTTTCATTTTTTAAAACAATTTAAAGAGTGGGAATTGTAATTTTTACTTTTAATACATGTGAAGATGCTCTCATTTTTTTTTCGAGCCACAATATTCTCATTGTTCATTGTTAACAGAATTTAAGAGAAAACCCACACTTTTATTATTCTTTATAAATTAAAACAGTGTTTTATATGTAAACAAAGAAAAAAATATAAGGGCAGGCGTAGCCTCTAAAGAGGTACAGGATTGAACCTAGAACCTATTACCATAAAGGCACAACTCGAAAGATAATGAAAAAAATTAACATAATGTAAGTGGAAGCATTAAATCACGTGTTGTTATTATTATTTTTTTGGCATTCTTAATCTTAATAGAAGCTTCTTTAATTGAAATGTGATAAAAATGTGATTTTTAGGAAATGACATAGCAGGTATATTACTTAGGAAATGTCCACAAATCATAGTTCAATCTAGCATATAGCTTATCTTCTTATTGAATTTTATAATTTTGCGTCTCCTTAAATCATGTTAAAAAATAATAAAACAATACTTTTTTTTATATGATGCGTCATGTGTTTTGCATTAATATGGCATCGAAAACTCCATTAATAACATTCAGAGTTAATTAACAATGAGGGCTTTGAAAAATAAAATTAAATATTAGGAGTTAATTTTAAATGTTTAAATATGAGTGAGTTCATTATGCTTCAAAATTTAAGGAAGTTTTGTGCAATTTAATCCAAAATTAACATAAACAAATCAATTTAGTTCAATGAACCTTTCATTAATCTACACAACCCAATGCTTTGCCTTTCGCTATAATCTCACAATTTTCCTTCATCACGTATTTGTAACACTACAAGGTACGTACAGTACAGTGCATGAATTTGGAGAGCCAAATTAATACTGATCGAGGAACCGTGGTGCTTTTGCCTTCCTCATGGGTTCACGTTCAATACGGGCAATTCAGTTGGTTTGGGTTTGGAAGACACTTGGCCGAAACAATAAGATTTGAAAAATATACTCCTATAATTGTTTTGGAGGGGATGGATATTTCTCTATCATCATTTAAACTGTTGTTTTTCCTTGGGCAGCGTGAACAATTCCGTGTGGCTGCAAAATTTTCAGGAAGGACTACGTTATGGAGCCTCCAACTAACAGCCAGATTGGACATTCAATGCACATTAATTACTTTTCCATTTCTCCAGCGCATTATTGAGATTAAAAAAAAAAAACAAACAGATTTTTCGCTGTTCCCCTCTTTTTTTAAGTACACTCTGCAGATCACACCCACGCCCTCCTCCGATTATCTTCTCTCTCTTCTAATTCTTCAACAACATCTTCAGATCTCAACCTCACGTCGCTGCGACTTGCTTAACTGAGCATGTTACAAGCTTTATCTACTGAGTTCATGGCGAAATTAAAGTTTGGAATATTTGTATGTGGAAGGGCATAGAGACACTACCTACCGCGTGGTGGGGGGGGGGGAGTGTGAAGGTATAAAAAAACAAGAACATTAGGATCCGAAAGGAGTAGCTCCAACCTAAGAGCACGTCAAGTCATTTTCTGACAACAGAATGTCATAGCAACGAGCAAGCATAAATGTGCACGACAAGATTGGCATTTAAAGTATGTCGCGCAGATTTCAGAGAGCCACATATTTCTGTATCTTTAACGAGGCAAAGCTTTAACGGCGCTTTCAGTGTGCTTTAAAAGTTTTTCTCCTGTGCCTTCCTAGCTCGAGAAGAGTCATGACAGTCCGATACGAAATTGAAGAGAACGGAGACTAACGAGGTGGCAAATTCTGGGCCTCGAGTAGAACTATATTGGTGAAAGGCTTGACTATATTTCATCAAAAGCAAACTAAGAAAGCAGGATCCCATACGAATACGATGAAAGATGTTTCTTCATCGGGCACATGTCTGTTGGATTTTGTGTTCCAGGGTGGAAAATAATCTCTTTCTTTCTTTGGTGCAGGGTAGGGAGTACTTACTCATACAGATATTAATAGCACCAGAAGCCATACGACTATTTCTTTAATTTTTCATTTTTTATGAAAAAGAATGTCCGACATCAACTTCATGATTCTTGACATGATTATTGATATTCTACGATGATATTGCGTTAACCTTGCAGCCAATCTCATTTAACGTGATAAGACATTTTTTATTATTCATAGCGGTGCCAAAAGCTTCCAATGACGTGAAGGTCGTCAGATCCATGGATGACGGATGGGATAATCAAATTCAACGTGATAAAATGCATCCCTTTATTTAAAAATAAAAAATATTTTTTAAAAAGTTACAACAATAACAAAACAACAACAACAACAAGCCTTTATCCCACTAGGTGGGATCGGCTACATGAATTACAAGACGCTATTGTGCTCTATCGTTTATCAAGCTTTTAGGAATATTATTAATTAACAGATCGCGTTCAATAACTTTCAAAAGTGTTCTCTTAGGCCTTCCTCTACCTCTCTTAATCGGACTCAAAGTTATATATTCACTCTTCTCACTGGTGCCTCCCTTGATCTTCTTTGTACATGCCCAAACCATCTCAACCGATACTCAAAATTAAATTAATATAATGTTAATTATTTATATTTCTCATGTAGTATTTTGTGGAAGTAAGATCATCTCATTTTACTATGAAATAAATAGAAGATATAATTAAAGTGTGAGCATATTATATAATTAATTATTTGTTATAGGTAACTTGATTTTAATATTAAAAAAATATCAATAATTTTATTGTTAGATTAGCTAGCTATTAGACTAGTCATGAAATTGAAATAGTTGTTTTATGTTCAAGTTCTTTTGCTATATACAAATTTTTATATTCAATAATATTATTTTTAAATTAATTTTTAATATTAGGATTGGTCATTTTTAAGAGATACAGGATGAAGTTTTTAAAAAATTTAAATAAAAAAATACCTACAAGAGTGCTCAACTCTTGTAAATAAGGACATGCAGTAGCACTCAATAGATATGGGAGCACTCTTTTCTTAAACGCTCCCATATGCTTGTAT